TGACAACTGCTGGGTTCAAGTACTTGTCTGTTTTTAGAATTATTTATTACTGTGTGTTGGACAATTTGAGGCCAGCAAAAGTTAATTAAAATTTTAAAACCATACAATGATACTAAATTTTTTCTTTTTTAAAGTACGATATTCCATTCATTGATAAATGGGCATTAAAAATACATGTTATGAAACATCACTAGTAGTAAAGCAATGAGTAAACTTCAAGTACTCGTTGAAAGCTAAGATCATCTGAAACCGTAAGATTATAGAGATCAATAAAATCATTAAATCTCGTGCTACACTGAGATTATGTGAGAACAAAAATCTCAAATCATAATGAGACAGAGAGTACGATGCCCATTAGTCTAATCGCATCACCTAATCACCATCACGATCATGGAAAACCAAGTAGATCCAGCAAATCAAACGGCTTTACCCTTCACACATAAATTCAAAAGAAAGGTAGCACACAAAAACAAAAATCAAACTGAACCAACTCTCCTAAAGAGAAAAATCAAAACCAAATCTTCAACACAATTCCTGAAAATTATTAAACAGTGAACAAAATAAAAAGATAAAATCATGTCGTCGTTCCACATCCTTTGGATATCTGAGAGCCATAGCACTGCATCGGCTATATTGTTGTACTAGCTAAATGAATGCAATCCGACATCTAGCTTCAGCCTCACATCGAAGGTGAAGATGATAACTAGATCCAAACCTTGTGTTCGTATGTGCGTAGGCCAAAAAACGACGATTATCACAACCATTATAATGTTTCACGACAACAATTTTTCACTGAATAAAGTAAACAAATAGGAAGAGAGGTGAGGGACCAAAAATTATTGTCAAGAAAATTGACGTGGACCCCAAAGCCAAAAGCAAGGGCTAGCAGAAGAGATTTTTTTTCTTTGATTTTTGCTCGGCTGGTTTTTTTTTATTCATTAAATTAACAAGAGTATAGCTTGAAACCTCTAAATGGAGATTTTGTGCAAATTAATTTTAATGATAGTATTAAAACCAATGGTGATTCTGTTGCTGATTTCTTAATTAGAAATTCTTCCGGTAATACAATTATGAGAGTTTTTCTTTAAAAATAAAAAATGACCAGTTAGTAGCTTTCTCATGGTAGTCCATTATTTTGGAGACTGGGAAGACTAATAGAGGCATTTCAACCTCCTCTTGATCATCATTGTGCGATTCACCAACGGTGGGAATCGAACCCAGGACGTGTCGTGTGGAATTCAAGCCTGAAATTCATCCCCAACCACTGGACTACTCCGTGGTGGTTACAATTATGATAGGTTCATTTCCTTCAGTTTTTTTTTTTTTTTTGAAACAATCGATATTATCTACACTAAGGGAGGGGTGGTTAGGCTTAGCCTCACAATGGGCTAGCAATAATGTGGTTCAAATTCACCTATGGCGAAAATTGAACGTAAGACTTCTTACTTACAAATGAATAGAAATATCACTAAAACGTAGTACTAAGTGGTAGTTATTTCTTTTATTTAACATACCGAAACTACAACTAATCATACTTTCAAAGAAGTCAATATTAACATATAATAGTTCCTCGTTTACGTTGTGACAAGGTTGGTAATAAGATCAATAGAAAAAAATAATCAATCTCTTGTAATTATGTTGTTAGGCTGCACCACTTGACCTTCAGATGGGTCATGGAGAACCTACTTTTGGCTTCCAACACCAATACGTGATTTGTCACATATCACGTGTAAATATTAACTGGAGGACAATGTGACCTTAGGAGGCTTGAGCATGAGAACATCTCTTAAAATCAAAACCTTTCTCTTGTTGGAATATTGTGATAGAATAAAATGCCTTTTCGGCTAATACATGATTCAACCACCTCATGCTATTATTTTCTTCTTGCATGCGCACATATTTACTTTACCGTCATTTTGATTTTGGTCTCTAATTAACTTAATTGTTGAATTGAAATTTTATTTGTTAAAATATTTTGGTAGAGGTATTCAACATCATTTAAAGAATTTAAACCCTCCATTTATACACTTAATATCTCACAAATTATAAAAATTAGACAAATTCAAATAATATTTTTTTAATATAATAATTACTTAAAAATCAATAATAAAGTAATATGGCCAAAAAAAATTTTGTGGTCCCTGTGGTGACACACCACTTTCAATGTTACCCTTGTGATGAAAAAGCTGTTAATTAAACTCTCGTGGTGAGCCCTGTTAGCAATTGAGATCCAAATCCAAACTTCCATTAGTCTTTCGTTAAAAACACTCATGTGACTATCACATGGATTGGTCAAATACATCATTTCAATCCAAATTATATCATATTCCATAGACATCTAGTATGACTTAGGTATACACTTGTTCTTTCTGGGTGAGTTATGACATACACTTGTTTTTCTTGTGAGTTAAAAAGTTGGCATCTGATTCTAGTGCACAAAGCAAATTGAACCAAGTGAAAATGAGAGGTAATTTACAAGAATAACATAAAGAATTAAAAACAACGAGTGAACGACATTGCAGTTTATGCATTCAGACGAGTGAAAAGCATTGCAGAATTAAAGAATTGAAGACAATGGGTGAAAGGCAGTGCAGAAAATTCAATTTTCACGTCTGCCCTCTGCATATTCAAGAGCATAAGAAACTTAAATAATTAAAATTCAAAGAAGATTAAGAAAAAAATTGAAAGGTTGTGTACTAGCCAACTACTGGCGTGCATCAAACCACACTACTGGTTAAAGACAAAATTGAAAGGCATATATGTATTCGGACTGGTACAAATTGATACAAGAATGAAAATTCAACTAAGACTAAGACTCTAACTCATGATCAAAGACGTGTTGGCATTGAAAAAAACAATGGTTTATTAGAAGTATTATGATTTCCAAACGAAATTAAATCATACCAAATACACGGCTTCACTTTCACCTCTTCTCCTAGCCATTGACATGGTTTTACAGGTTTAGTTTCACTCTTTACATTCAATCTTTTTTCTATGAAATCTAATTTCCGTTAAACCCTAACTCATACTAGATGTCCATGGAATGTGATGTAATTTGAATTGAAATGGCGAATTTGACCCTCCGTGTGATAGTCATGTGAGTTTATTTAATGGACGACTAACTAAAGTTTGGATTTGGACCTCAATAGCTAATAAGGCTCACCATGAGAGTTTAATTAAAAGCCTTTTCACCACAAGGGTCACATTAAAAATGCCGTGTCACCACAAGGACCATGAAAAAAAATTGGCCAAGTAATATTGTTCTTTACATAGTTCTAACAAAAAAAATAATGTACTTAAACCCTAGAAATATATGAAAATGATTAATAAGTTTTCCATTTTTAAAATTAACATATGTCGTGGACAAAAGTCAAAGGGCCTTGATAAAAAATAAAAATAAAAAGGTTTTTTAGCCAAATTGGTTCCTGAGATTTACATAACTCCTCACTTTGGTCCCTATGATTTGAAATCGATAGAATTGGTCCTTGAGTTTGTCCACATTTAATGATTTTGGTCATTCAGTGAAAAATATCCATAAAATAAGGTTAAAATGACAAAAATACCCTCATTTTTTGTCAAATCATTTTGGCTTATTGTTTATTAAATTGAGGATAATTTTGTCCTTTTGATCCTTATTTAACATAATTTTCACCGAATGACCAAACTGATTTGTCACATCCCGGCCCGAGGCGGATCACTTCCCAGGCCCGCTCCACCACCGTAGCACGATATTGTCCGTTTTGGGCTTACCATTTCCTCACGGTTTTGTTTTTGGGAACTCACTGAGCAACTTCCCAGTGGGTCACCCATTATGGGATTGCTCTAGCCCCTTTCTCGCTTAACTTCGGAGTTCCTTCGGAACCCGAAGCCAGTGAGCTCCCAAAAGGCCTCGTGCTAGGTAGGGATGAGAATATACATTTAAGGATCACTCCCCTAGGCGATGTGGGATGTCACAGATTGATGGTGGACAATCTCAGAGACCACTTCTATTGATTTCAAATCCCAAGGATCAAAGTGAAGAGTTATGCAAATCTCAAGAACCATTTTAGCTAAAAGCCAAAAAAAAAAAGAAAAAAAGGATTAATTTAGAATGAAAATTATATATACGCAAGAAATGCCAAGTACATCTCGAAAACTTGCTGTGCAATATCGAAATTTGATCATTTTACTAGTTATATTGTATATATAACATTTGAAATTTGATCATTTTATTTGATAAATTTTATCAGTTTATGTGTTAATATATATCATGTGAAAAGATTAATCTATATTTTTAACTTTTAGAGAACAATATCAATAAAACTCACTCATATTATAACATGTGAAAAGATTATACCAATTACCACCTGATGACATGACCACACAATTTAACCTACATTCATATAGTCATATTAGTTGTAAATTCTTGAAAAATCCATACAAAAATTTTTTATTTCCTTTTTACATATATCAGGATTTTATTATTTAAATTTAATATAATTTTACGTTTGGGAGGAATTCGTCGAAGTTTGGTAGATATTTTTTGTTGATATTACAAAGATATATGAGTATACACGCCCTTGCGTGAGTTGACATACGTGTCTTTCTATACACGCCCTTGCGTGAGTTGACATACGTGAGACCGTATCTCTTCTTCTTTGTCCAACAGACAATTATGGATAAGAATTAACAAAAAAGGAAACTCATTTAACTTGCTCCTAAAAAAGCCAGATTACAATTTACATCCGTTGGCAGTTGCCCTTTGGCTCGTTAAATCCCCAGTCCATCCTCTCATCACGGCAAAAATCACGAGCCCTAAAAGCAACGGCTGCGATTACATCACCACCCCAACAAAAATAAAAAAACCATTTGAATTAATAATCAACATGTTTTGGGTACAACATATCCAAATGCACAGTAGAGCAGGTGTATAAATATAGCAAAATATATGCATACACACCCACATATGCGTGTGTGTATATGTGTGTGCGCGTATATATTCCAATGACACCTAAGTTGGTAATTGGGGGGGAATTTTGGGTGCCCTATGTTGATCCTCAAAGAATAACCACCTTCTAAAGATATCCCATTTTTCAAACTCTCTCTCTCTAGAAATTTGCCCTCTGCATTTTTCTTCCTTCTTCTCGTTCCTTCTTCTTCTTCCATCTCTTTCTCCCTCCACAACCCAATGTAGTGGAGTCTTTCCTCCTTTTGTTTTCAGGAAGGCCTCTTCTCTCTTCTTCTGGTTTAGTAATTTGGGAAACTCTGCCAAGCCTTAACCATGACGGCGGAAGGTATGCTCTGCTCCTCCTCTGTTTTCAGGTTTTTTTTGTGTGTTTGCGGCGGCGGGTGCGTTGCAAGGACACTGGCGGCCCGGCTGCGAAAAATGAATGGGAATTTTTGGTATATCAACCTGAAAAAGCAAAAGAAAAGTTTTGTATATGCTCCTCTTTTTCCTGTTTCTTTTTTTTTGGCTGGCTTGTGCTGCAAGCCCTCAAGGTGTTTTGATATTTTGCAATCTTTCATTGTTACATACATTTTTTTTCCAACATTGTTGTATTTATTGACTCGAGGGATGTTCTAATTAATCTCATTTAAATTACGAGAATGATGGTTCAAAATTGGGCTGCAGAAGGAGGAACACGCTGTTTTAGCCAATACATAGTCTAATCATTCATTGTCATTTTTGTCTTTGTTTTTGCTCTTTTTTTTTTTTTTTTCTTTTTTTCTTTTTGTTCATTTAGTAACGATTTGGTGGGGCATTGCAATGGCAGAGACCTTAGGAGAAACGAAAGGAAACCCAGAAATGGAATCAGAGTCACAAGGCGATCCGAGGAAGATCGAGTCGTGTGAGGACGAGTCGTCACCGCGGGGCGTGTTGGAAATCCCCATTACGGACTCGGACTACAGCGGCAGCAGCTGCGGCACATCTTCTTGTTCCGAAAAGACGATGGGCCAGACGCTAATGCGAGACATCAGCATTGGGTTGCAGATGAAAGGCAAGGGAATGTTCGATGCCTTGAAGAAGAAGTCAGCGAGGCGGTTTTCGACCATTCCCATATTGGGTGCCAGCTATGAACTTTCCAGGAGGAACTTGAGGAGGAGACTGGCTCGGATTTGGAACGCCGAGGATGAGGAGGAGGAAGGAGCTGAAGGGATGTCCATTACGAAGCCGTCATGGAGGAACTTTGATTATGCTGAGCTTGCTGCTGCTACTGCCAATTTCAAACCCGGTGAGCCTTATTTTCGATTTTGTTATTCGCTTGTGAATAGAATTCTTATTGAGTTGTGATTGCATGGTACTCGGCAGAGAACCTGATTGGCAAAGGTGGGCAAGCAGAAGTTTACAAGGGGTTCTTATCCAATGGTACAATTGTAGCAGTCAAGAGGCTAATGAAGAAAGAGAAAGAGAAAGAAAACGAGGATCGAGTTGGCGATTTCTTGGCTGAGGTTGGGATTATTGCACACATAAGACACCCGAATGCTGCTCGCCTACTTGGCTTTGGCATCGACAGTGGTTTGCACCTTGTCCTGCAATTTTCCCCACACGGCAGCTTAGCTTCTCTACTCTTTGGTACCGGATTTGTCTTCTGAGTTTCTTAATCTGTTTTTTTTTTTCCTTCCAGTATCGTATTTCAGTTTCGCTGATGGGAAGATATTCTGCGTATCAGGTACAGCAGAATGTATGGATTGGAAGATCAGGTTTAAGGTAGCAATTGGGATAGCAGAAGGTTTGCGATATCTCCATCACGAATGCCACAGGCGCATCATTCACCGGGACATCAAGGCCTCTAATATATTACTAACCGAAGATTATGAAGCTCAAGTATTCTTTGTGTTCTTCCGGTCTGGTTAACTTCTCAGATATGCTTCTTAATGGATTTTCTAAATGTAATCGGAGTTCTATTTTACTGTTACTGCAGATATCTGATTTCGGACTAGCAAAGTGGCTCCCTGAAAAATGGACTCACCATGTTGTATTCCCTATTGAAGGCACATTCGGGTTAGGGCACAGTTTCAATTGTCCGTCAGTTATGATTGCTAACTTTCATCTGTCGTAGATATTTTTAGGCTAACAGACCTTCAAATTGTTTCAGGTACTTGTCTCCAGAGTACTTCATGCATGGAATTGTCGACGAGAAGACTGATGTGTTTGCATATGGGGTTTTATTACTGGAGCTCATAACAGGTCGCCGTGCAGTTGATTCAACTCAGCAAAGCCTTGTGACCTGGGTAACCATCTGTTATGTAAAACTAAATAGCATTTTTATCCCCACTTTTGCCTTTGCCAAATGCTTACGGGTGCCAAAAAGGGTTAGAATTAGGACAGCAACGTCATTGTATCATTAAATCTCAAGTTCAATAGCCAATTTTTCTTGTGTTATACACAGGCAAAGCCGCTTCTAGATGCAAGTAATATGAAGGAGCTAGCAGATCCTCTGTTAGAAGATGCATATGATCCGATTGAGATGAAAAGAGCCATGGTGACGGCTTCAATGTGCATCAGTCATCAATCCACAAGGCGTCCGTATATGAATCGGGTATGACCAGTTTCTTGTTTCCGGTTAATTTGTTTTCGAACCGTTAAGCAAGATGGACTAACGATGCAAATTGGTGAGAGTGCAGGCAGTGCAGATGCTAAAGGGCGAGGGTGGCGTCGCAGATCAGTTGAGACAGAAGTCTACAGCAGTGAGATCACTGGTTCTAGAGTCTTGTGACTTGGAAGACTACACTTGTTCGAATTACCTCAGCGATCTCAACCGCCACCGGCAACTCGTGTTGGATCAGTAGACTGCCTTTGCTTTCCATTCCTCTTTCTCCTGCAGCCTCTTGTTGTTGTTGCATTGTCAGCTGTTAGTGTGGAAGTTTTGGGATTGTAGTACCCCTTTGCTGTGTATCTCCTCAGGCTCTCAAATTGAAGCAATTGTTGATTGATTGCTACATATTTGTAGAGAATACTAGGAAAAGTGGCATTTTGTTATCGTTGTGGCATGGTATGTTATGTTACCAAACGATCAATTGGAACATTGTACATTCAAACGTTGAATGCCATCAATGCTTCACTAGTTGAACGATCGTGATTGATAACCTGGCAACATAACATGTCGTAATATCTAGCAAAAGGAAGTTACTTTTGTTAGAACAAGGTGTACCCCATGATGGTTGTATTTATGTTCTCTCATCAAGTAAACAGTTCCGAATCAAGTTGAAAGTCTTCCTCGATCAATTTGTTACTCCATCTTTGCACTGGTTCATTAATGTAAAAAAGGACAAATTTGGGACCAAAGGAAAATAAATATTTGTAAAAGCACCATGCGCATCATTATGCACAAACACCAACCCGTAAGCTAGCCACCAAGGTTCAGTTCGCCTCTGTTCTCTGCGACAAACTCAAATCAACGACCCAGATCCAATTGGATAACAATCAACCCATCACTGTTTCAATCACAGCCGTTCAATCTAATGACACCAGAGGTTGTGCTGCGGGTCGGCCTTCTGATCCTAAACCCTAGCGGTGTTCTTCGGCATACACAAACTCTCCAGAAACGCCCTTACCAAGCTCCGAACCAACAACCGAGCCAACCTCCAATCGACCCGCCACTTCATCCACGGGTCGCAGCTCCTGACCCGAGCGCGGTCCACTCCCCACAAGGCCCAATCCCAGGCCCACGCCAAAAAAGCCTTGATGGAGGCCGAGAAGGCGCTGTTTCTCTCGCCCAGGGATCCGGGCCCACACATCTTCAAAGCCCTATCGCTCTATCTCTTGGGGCACAAGACCTCCGCGCTGAAATCGCTTGACGCGGCCCTGTCGCCGCCGTGCGTGAAGACGCTCTCTGAGAAGGAGCGCGGGGACGCTCTGGTGAAGAGGGCCGAGTTAAAGCTCGGGCTGAACCGAAGGCGGCGGGTGGACTCAGCGGTTGAAGACCTGGCGGATGCGGTCGGGCTGGGTCGGGCGGAGGGGGATGCGACGGCGTTTTGTCTGTTGGGTCAGTGTTACGAGTGGAAGAGGATGAGGGAGGAAGCCAGAGAGGAATTTGAGTGGGCCTTGAGGGTTGATCCCGGGTCGGATTTGGCCCGTCAGGGCTTGGATCGGTTAGGACCGTAGCCCATGAACTTTATATAATTTAGTAGATTGTATTATGTCTTCGGGTTTAAAAGCCCAAGATTTTGTAACAAGGCAATATTTAGCTAGCTTTCTTTCCAATATTTATATATTTACTAAAGAGGCCTCTATCATAGCCGACGTAGATTAGGCAAATTGGTTAGCGTCTCCTTGTAGTTCCAAGTTGTTTAAGTAGCCCCATCTTAAAAAACTTAGATTAGGCAAGTTCGCTAGAGCACACCATCGGTGCATTCAAATTTAAATCATTGTGATGTAGTTTCATATTCGTTAAAACAGTAATGCTAGGAAGACTCAAAATTTGTAAATTAAATAATATATCACTAATAAAAATAATTGAAATTTTGATATTATCCCTTGAAACTGTTTGGAGTATTAAGATCCAATGGTTATGAAATGGACAAGTGTCAAAAGATCATGAAGTTAGTTACATTGGTTATATTGTTACTTAAAGTGTAAGCTACCAAATGTTATTATATATAGCTTGTAACAAATCATTGTAACTAATAAGAAAAGAATACAACAATTCACAACAAACTTCTCTCTCAAATATCTCCGATCGTCTCCTTCTATCTTCTTCTTCTTCTTGCTTCTGTATAATCTCTTTTCTCAATAACACGTGATGCTTTACATGGTATCTTCGCCGAAATCCGCATAACAACTTGGCGGTGGTGTCGATCTTGGTTCCAATTGCTTCCGCTACTGTAATTGTTCTTCTGGTATATTGATATATTGTTGTTCAGTTTCTGGTATTTGGCGAGTGTTCTCTGCTACTCTACGTCTGGTTCTTCCGTTCTCCAAACGTGCACACCAACTGTTTGTGATTTGGTTTCAGACACGATTATCTGTGATTTCTCGACGATTTGCAACAATGGTAACAGCGTCTCAGCTACAAATCTTACAATCTCCGATTGCGTCCTTGATCTCATCTGTTTCGAGTTCGGTAAATGTGAAACTGGATGAGACGAATTATTTGGCTTGGCATTTCCAGATGCAGCTCCTACTTGAAGGCCATAGCATAATTGGGTTCGTTGATGGGTCAATACCTTGTCCTGCTCAATTCAGTCAAGATTCTTCTGATCATTCGGCTATTTCGTCTGGTGATTCTTCTGCTAGGGTTTTGTCTGACGATTACAAGATATGGAAGATGCATGATAAGGCCTTAATGCAATTACTTACTGCGACTTTGTCTCCGGCTGCAGTCTCTTGTGTAATTGGAAGCACTAGCTCTAAAGAACTGTGGAATCGTCTTAAAGATCAGTTCTCTACAGTCACAAGAACGAGTATCTTTCAACTCAAATCTGAGCTTCAGACAATAAAGAAGGGTAATGATTCTGTCACATTATATTTGCAGAAAATTAAAGAAGCAAGAGATTTATTGTCTGCTGCTGGTGTATTCTTTGATGATGATGACATGGTGATTCTTACACTCAATGGTTTACCTTCTGAATTCAATACCATACGATCTGTGATTAGGGGTCGTGAGACTATGATCTCATTGAAAGATCTTCGTTCTCAATTGCTTGCTGAAGAAGCTTTGCTTGAAAATGGCACGAATTCTCCTGTGTTATCTGCATTAATGGCACAAAGTAATGGTTTTTCTCCCAAGCATCAGTCTTTTTCTGCTGCTAGTGGTACTCATAGCAGTCCTAATTCTACTGCTTACAAGTCATTCACCAATAACAATAAGGGTCGAAATCGGTTCAATTCCAACTTCCACTCAAAGTTTGGCAACAACAAGAATTTTCATTCGAATTCTGCTCCTGGAATTCTGGGTACATCTCCACCAAGAGCTCCAAATTATGGTTTTCAGAATCACCAATGTCAGATCTGTGGGAAGAATAATCATTTGGCGTCTACTTGCCGGTTCAGGAATACAATCACACTACAAGGTTGTCAGATTTGTGGTAAAAATAATCACTTTGCTGATACCTGCAGATATAGGAGTGCTGTTGCTCCTTCCGGTTGTCAGATTTGTGGCAATTCTTATCATAGTGCAGAAACTTGTTTTCAGAAGAATTCGTCTAATCAATTGAATGCAATGCATGCTGCTACTTCTCAATTCTCAGTTCCATCTGCACCGGCACAACAACCACAAGTTTGGCTCACTGACTCTGGTGCTAATAACCATATGACTTCCGAATTGAGCACTCTTTCCTTAGCAACTCCTTATCCCGCCAATGAAGTAATTCAAACAGCTAATGGTGAAGGTTTAGCTATCTCTCACATTGGTTATTCTCTCCTAAAAACTCCAATGCAGCCTATCAAGCTCAATTCTGTTTTATATGTTCCAAACCTGTCACAAAACTTACTGTCTGTCCATAAAATTTGTTTGGATAATAACTGTTGGTTGATCTTCGATGCTTTTTCGTTTTGGATTCAGGACAAAGCCACAGGGAGGATTCTCTACAAAGGGTTGTGTAACAATGGATTGTATCCCATCATTTCACCGCGTGCTTCTTCAGTCAACTATACAGGACAACCTGTAGCTTTTCTTGGAAAACAGGTCACAGTCAGTATTTGGCATAAGAGGCTCGGTCATCCTTCTAATTCCATAGTTTCTCAGATTTTAAGGAATTCCAAAGTGTCTTGTGTTGCTGATAGTATTCCTTCATTGTGTCAAACTTGTCTAGAGGGTAAGTTTAGTAAACTACCATTCTCTCCGTCCGTTTCAAAGTCTGTACACCCATTTGATATTGTCCATAGTGATGTGTGGGGCCCTGCTCCTTGTGTGTCCTTTGAGGGATTCAAATATTATGTGACTTTCGTTGACCATTGTACTAAGTACTGTTGGCTGTTTCCGATCTGCAATAAAAGTGATGTTTCTGCAACTTTTGTGTCCTTCTACAATTTCATTCTAAATCAGTTTCATACTACTATAAAAGCTCTTCAAAGTGATGGTGGTGGTGAGTATATAAGTAAGGTCCTTCAACAATTTCTTCTTGATAAAGGAATAAAGCATCAGATGTCTTGCCCTCACACACCCGAACAAAATGGTACAGCAGAGAGAAAACATAGGCATATCGTTGAAACATCCATTACCTTGTTACAAACAGCTTCATTACCATCCCTGTTTTGGTCCTTTGCCTGTCAAGCTTCAGTCTATTTGATCAATCGCATGCCATCCCCAACATTAGATCATAAATCTCCATTTGAGTTGCTGTATCATTCTTTCCCTGAAATTCAACACTTGAAAGTGTTTGGGTGTTCTTGTTATCCATGGTTAAGACCATACACTTGCACTAAATTAGACCCTAGAACAACAAAGTGTGTCTTCTTAGGTTATGCATCTAAGTATAAGGGGTATCTTTGTTATGATGTGGCTACGAAGAAAGTTTATGTGTCAAGACATGTGATTTTCGATGAAACTGAGTTTCCTTACAAGTCATTGGTCCTTAAATACCAATCTGTCACTTCTGCACCATTACCATCACTCATACCTTCCCATTTTCCAGTTCCAGATCATAATAATGTTCTTAGTTTCCCAACACCTCCAAATTCATCTAGTTTTGGTTCATCTCATGGTACTGTACATCCCGATTCCAATGCTCCACTTAGTCCTCTGTCAAATACTGATATGCATCAAGCCTCTCCTGAGCCTCATTCCATCTCAGCTGTTGCTCCAAGTTCAAACTCTGAAGACTCAAGCTCTAGTCAATCCATTGTTGCTGCACTTACACAGCCCTTGTCTACCACTCTCCCTGTGGTACCTGAATTCCACCCGGACCATCTGCAAGTGGTACTATCTATACCACCACTGAATCTCCATCCTATGCAGACACGGTCCAAGAATGGTATTTCCAAGAAAATTGCCCTTTTAGCTGATCTGCATGAACATGGAGGGGTTGATCTGAGTCAAGTGGAGCCTGCCACTTATAAGTCTGCCTTAAAGTCCCCGGTGTGGTCTGCGGCTATGCAAGATGAGATTTTAGCTTTGCAAAATCAAGGTAC